TTTTTTTTTTCTTTGAAAGCAGGAAAAGGAATCAGTGATGGAATATCAGTTTCTGTGTTAGGGCACTTTTTAGCTGTGAATATCGTTTTTGAAAGCTAGATGATGTTTCTGATTTTAAACTAAAGGGGTATTTCAGGAAATGTTGCTTCAACATCATCACCTTCACCATCGGGGGTTGGAGGTACAAGTGGCTCAGATTCTGCGATGAAAACTGAACCTGCTTCGGCGGATGCTTAAACAAATCTATGTATGGAAACAGTTTAGTCTAAGTTTAGCGCATGTTTCGTTGTAAGAAGCGTGTGTGAGAGGAAGACAGTGGTATTTTTTTAATTCAGTTTACTTTGGCAGTAAGCGGTAATATATATTCTTTTCTGAAAGATGTTGTCTACTCGTTCACGTATTCCGGAGCTCTCCCTTGCTCACATGGTTTATTTTTTGTCACCGTATCTATCGAGCCATTCTCTATTTAGCATTTTTCTCTCCACAACTTTTGTTAGGAGGAACTGCCTTCTATCTCATTTTGCTATCTTTATTTTATTTATTTGTTGTTTTTTTTTCTGGCTTTCCCACACTGATTTCCCAGTTGAATGATGACGTAAAGAACTTTGTTTTATGGTGGTAGTACCGTTGAAGTGGATATCCAGTTACTTGAAGTTCGACGAGAGTGGCAGGGTAGCATTTTTATAAGATTGGTTCGAAAACATACGGTATGACACCCTCCTTCTACGTTTCCCGCTCTTCCGTTTGGGACTCTCTTGGAACGTGTTTTATATTGTTTATGTGAAATATCGAGAGCACTTAATTGACATTTCACCTTTAGCATATATCAGTCTTTACTGGTGTAGGATCCACATTTCTAAGGCGGCAAAGGTGAAGTTTATGGAATTTGTGTTGAACCTAATTCTGATTTATTCAATTTGCACTTTCCGTAATTATTCGTTAGCCTAGTCAGTGTCAGTCCAACGAAGCAAGTTCTTGACTTTTGTTATCTTACTACTACCCAACATTGACGGCTAAATCGGAGTTTTTTATTGAGAGTAATGTAGGTTTCTAATTTCTCTTTATCTTTTTTTTTTTTTTTTTGTTCGCCGTTGACAGCCCAACAGCGTCCGGTTTTTCTGCTGATTTTTATGCCGTTCATTCTTTTCCTGTGATATTATTTTCTCCTTTGTTGAGTTGTTTTCCCTTCCTTTTTCTTGTCGTCATGTTTGCTGCAAATTATTGTTTGGCGATTTTGGCGCTGTTATCACTACTGTATTTTTTTGCCGCTAAGTTATCTTGTTTTATATACCGAAGTGTCAGAATGCTTTGATTTGTATAAAGTGTATGAGTTTCTTTTCGAACTGCTATGTAATGACGGATCATTCTGCACGACTACTTTAACACCTGGAATTTTCAACGACTTCCTAAATTAACAGTCTCCTCTTAAATAGGCTCTAATTAATTATCCATTCTCGTTTTACTGTTCTTGTTGTTGACTTGGTGCTAACCTTCGTTGAGGTCGACAACCGTGAAAGTGTGGGTATTGCATATGACGTGTGCAGAATGGTGAGGTCTTGGCCATATTCCGTTGTTTTTCATTTTTTTCCATCAGAAATCTTCTAGAGTTCCGAAGTTTTTTAGATGGTAACTTTTTCCCTGTGTTTTGCACCGTCTGCTGTTCAATGTAAGATAAGTTTTCTTTTTTGGTATGATTATAAGTTCCTTTTTAGGGAGAAAAAGTTTTTTCTTTTTCAGTTTTTTTTTTTCACGCTGAGATTTGAAAGTCTTATGTCTGGATTTTAGGGGATCGCTGTTTACGTTGTAGAATTTTGGTCCCGAATGGTTATGTACAATTTGTAGAATTTTTGTTCCTTATAATTATAGTGTACTTATCCTCTCTGCAATGTTCCTTGTTTTGAAAAATTTAAAGAAATAACTCCAGTTTGTTGTCCCACGTTTTTTTAGTTTCCTGTTGTTTTGATTGAGTAATTTTATGATTGTCTCCGTGCAATGGAGAGTATTAAGGAGTTGCAGTCGTTGGGAGCGACTGTGAGAAGTGGACGGTAAATTGTTCTACAGTGAACTTTTGTTCACTACCGTTAACAGCTACCAGCCGGTGTTTCGTCTTACTGCTACCAACGAAGTTTGCTGTTCTTAAAGAAGCCGATGAAGGAGTGTGGAGTCAACTGCGAGATGCGGTCTGCAAAGACTCCACTCGGTAACAGTTCTTTTTTCCTGCAGCGTGTACAAATGACCACTTTGGTGTGTGCTTTAAGTCATGTACTCGAGTCGTCCGCAGCCGCTTTTCCAGAGGAAGACTTGCAGACGCTTTCCCAGTGAGGTTCCTTGCTGCGTGCCTCTGCGTGTAGCAATTGGAATTCCACTGTCTACCAGGTGACATTAAAGGGAAGTGTTTTTCACAGGAAGTATAGAACTTAATTTGTCTTTCTGTTTATCCGTTTCTAACGTACAACGTTTAGTTGAGTAGGCCGCAACAGTTCACTATCGTTAACAGCTACCAAATGGTGTTTCATCTTACTGCTACCAACAAAGTTTGCTGTTCTTAAAAAAGCCAATGAAGGGGTGTGGAGTCAACTGCGCCAATTAGGGCCTCATCATCTTTCCTCTCCCATCTTGTTCAGAGACCTCGCAGATGTTTGCAACGGAATTGGTCTTATTCTATTCTATAGTTATTGGTCAAAGATTTGGACGTGGCGTATATTTAAATCAGCAAAGAACTGCCTCAGAAAGAGTTGTTGGGGGTGGGGAGCCGTCTTGTCTCAAAAATTTTAGGTTGTCAGCACAAAGTGGATTTAAAAAGGAGTTTGTCAGAACTTTACTTCATTGCCCAGTTTTTGATTTTTTTTTTTTTTTGAGCTGAGCAAAAGACACTTTGGCTGGAGGCTGAAATCACATAACTAATTTGAAAAACAGTACGGCATTGACGACAGTAATAAGAATGTAGAACAAACTATTCAACAAGACTGGTACGAAGAGCGCCAAAGTTTTAACGGTAATAAACTACACATCAGACGAGCGATTTTTGCTCGAATACAAACATCTAATTCTAATTTCACAAGGACTTTCAGAAGGCGTCACCAGTTCAAGTCCTCGGCTGCCAACTATGTCACTTCTAATGGCTTCGGGGAGTTACTGCGTAGAGAGCTTAAAGGAACACGAACAGCGAAAAGAATTTTCTCACGTCATGAGCAACTTGAGGACCATAAAATCTACCCAGGTTAAGTAAGTAGCAGGGCAAGGTTATGTACCTGAATGCTTAGTAACACTTCTAGTAACAGACGATGTTTGCTTAAATAAGACAAAAAACCAGATGAAGAAATACAACTGGATCTTGCAGCTAAGACAAGTTTTGAGCTAATAACAACATAAATACAACTTACAACTATATACGGCTCTAACATCACAAAAAATAAACTGGCTTAAAAGGCTTGTGAAGCAGCTGTATAGTTATTCCAAACATGTAATCTGTGGAAACAAATTCTCAAAAGACATTTGGGGGAACACCCGCTTCAAAAAAAGAAAAAAAAAAAGAGTAAAAAATAATCTCCACTATAACAAATAAGTTTTACAAACAAAGATTAGAAGAATTATTTCTGGATATCACGAATTACGGCCAAAATGTAACAGATGCCTGCTGAAAATTCGTTACTGGAAAATGTAGAGAACTTGGACCCAAGTGCAGCTGAGGTATAATCATAATGAACGAATTATGTCTAATGCAACGTCGTAAAACAAAAATGCAAACCCTGTGCTTACTGCAGCTTTCAAAATGGATGGAAATAACCCTTTGAATAGCCCTAAACAAAGTGAAAGTAGATGGTTTTTAAAAGGTGAGGCTGATCAAGTGGTAGAAAAAACTTGTTTCACTAAACTCTTGATACCAATCGTGCAATAATATCAGTAAATCATTGGTAAACAAAAAAATGTAAATTGTCTACTAACCAAAGAAACTTTCATTTCTAATTACATGGACAAGTGTTCCCACCATAGTTCGATACTGCGTAGTTTTCCCAAACCCGATACGATGAAAACCACGTAACTGGAAAATGGATAGAGAATCTATGTGAACAAACCATTGTCAGAAAGATTCTCCCACCAAAAGTCGTGGAAGAAGGATTAAAATGCCAACCTTCTTTCTGAAAATTACCTGAAGTCTATGGCGAACCATATCAAAAGGATAAAGAATAGTTTTAGCTGATGCGCCCGATAAAGCCCCACAAATAAGTGCCCCTTGCGTTTCTGAAGCACACACCACAACTTATAACAAGAAAAAATTATGATCTGTATCAATGGTGAGGACGAAAAAACGTTAATTAGACTGTAAAAAAGTAGAAGGTGAACAAGGCCCAAGACTATGGAATTAGTCCAAAAAGTTAATTATTTTTTTTTTACTGCCAATAAATTACTCATTAACCTGATATCGGAGGAAGAAAACAGAACACATCAAAGGAAATAGGAGTAACAATAGAAGCAATATTGAGTAAAAAATTAAGTCTTGTTCTATAAAGAATGGTCAAAGAGCCTTGCAAGAAAAATCTGAAAAAAACAATAACAACTGTGAGTTTCTACAAAAAGACTATCAAAATGAGAGACATTTAAATGAAGCACCAAAAAGCAACAACAAGTTTTCTTCCAATTGTAAAAACTTTCATTTATCATGTCACAATAGCATCAATGTAAGAATAAAGCACAGTTACTTTGCAAGAGCAAAGTAGCTGCTCAGGCCAAAATTAAAAATGCCATTTATAACAAACCTTCCCTTCCGGTTAATTTCGTCCAAATACCAGAAAACCAGTTGAACAGTGTAAACTGCAACCCTAAAAAATTTCTATTTACATGAATTTTTTGAAAACATTTTATTAATGAACGTAAAACTACCAAGGAGAAAGAAGTTTTGATAAAAAAAAACTCCAAAGAGTTCCAAGAAACCTGTGTATGGGGCAATATATACTAATGAAGGAGATAAGCCACGAAAAAAACTTCTAATCCCTTCTCGTTCCCACATAAGACAAGACGCATTTATCATGCCTCGATAAACCTACAATAAACTGATAATTACATCTTTTTTACTCCACAGTTTCATAAAGCAGATCCAAAAAGGATAAACAACCAAACAGCTCCTATTATGCAACTAAAGATGACGAAAAAACGGCATGATTATAGTGCTTTCTTACAAAAAGAAAAAATTTTAAAAAGTTGTTCGAATAATAATTTGCACAAAACCTTAAGGCTTCCTTGAGCTATTAACCTTGTCCTTATAACATCTAAAGGAGATGCAGCAATCATAGCAGAACAACCAGCCACTGCTCCACAGACAAAATCTGTCACTTTCCTCTTCCGATTTGCAACTTAAAAAAATCTATTTCTTTTAAACTACAATGCAAGTTTCATACCTATAAAATAAAATTGTCAGACAAAGCTTTACCTAAAGAATTTATGTAAGAAACGATTAAAAACACTAATTATTCAAAAAAGCCTAAATTTGCGTAATACTTATGAGGCATTACTTACTTTCAAACTGCTTTGATTTCTTAGTTAATATTTCAAATGATGTAAACTGTACAAGGCCATAAACGGCGGAAAGCCCTTGAGCTGGCACATGGCCCTTCCAAAAAGCGGTAATTCCTTCTTCCTTAAAAATTAAAACAACGGCCTGCTTCACGCCACTATACTTTCCTGGATTGATGCCGCTAATTGCTTCTTCTTGCAGCTGCAACACTGCCAGCTTTCTCATTATTTAACATTTGAAATTAAGCCTATTATTGCTCAAAATATTCCTTATATTTTCTAATCAAAAAATGATGTGGTCTTGAATAAGAAGTGGCCATACATAAATGCGTCTACAACAACCACCTGAAATCGAATTTTCAACACATCTAGTGGTTGAATGATGCAGCGGGTAGCTATACCGCTGACAATACCCGCCTCGCCATAGTCATTTGCTGTAAGTTCTCGTCTGTCATTTTTCTTTTCGATCCCATATCCCACCATCCCAACTGCAAAACAGAGCTAATTCAACAAATCATCAATTTGGAAAGATACGATAAATACCAAGAAATTGACAAAGCTAAAAAAAAGCGCAAAAAAACGACAAAGTATGCGAACTTATGAAGAAGCAAACATTCCACCAAGGTAAAACTATCATTTGAAAAATTTGCGATTAAAGAAGAGCTTTGCATTGTGAAAGTAGTTAAAAACTGAACTCTAGCTTCTAAAAATCATCCAAGCAACCTACTCTATCAAAAACTTCATCTCCAACTAAATTTCAGTAAAAGTTGTAGTTCAGTTAAAAACAGCTGTTTCCGGCCACAAATCTGTTTTTCCCCTCGCACAAATAGTAACTTTATTTTCTACTCCACTTAAAGCTTACAATAATGCTTAAGAACCAAAAAAGTGATTAATAAATGATAAAATGACAAGAATAAAACGACTAAAAAGGCTATGTAACTGAAAAAAAATTGAAAATGTTCTCAAATAAGCTTAGTGACTGTTTCGTCCAATCTGCTGATTAATCTTTTGCTCCACCTCACTATTACATGATAAAGTGAAGAAATTTTCCTTGAATCCACTCACCCTTTCTGGTTGCAAATGCAGAGTCACTGTGGCGAGATGGATTGCAGTAACCGTTGTTGTTGATCGGGGATTAGAGACGACAACAACAGAACAAAACAACACACTGCAATGAAAAGAAAAAATAGTTATAGCCAAGTAATACTGGTAGATACTGAAACTGAGACAAGCAAACTATCCTCATTACAATGAACATGAAAAAGAACGTTTAAAAAAAATTTTTAAAAACTTCGAAAGAAGCCTAAAAACAAGTAAGAGAGCATGTTGTACAGCAACTAAAAAAAAAAAACAATGATTATTATCCAACAGGTAATAATTCTGTTCGTTTTTTATTTTGTCTACAAAAGTGGATAAATTTCCCGGATTCCGAATATTTCATACCGATGTACATACACATTTAAGTATCGAACGACTGAAGCAGATATCCGCAAACTGAAACTACCAGACTCCTACATACAACTGATGTATGACCACTTGGCTGTTGCTTGGCTCTGTTCCAAGTTTTTTCTTCAAGCAACAGCAACTGTTGTTTTCTCAAGCATTAGCCTTCTCAAACAACCGACAGCAATTGAGGGTATCAAGACTGCTTCCCTCGAAGTTACTTAGTCTACTAATAAAACAACACTTGTATACGCACATACAGTTAAGATGCCGTCATCTGAACACAAACAGCGAGCCAGCGAGTGTGTGACGTAATCATTAAACTCCAGAGTGTATCTGTTGCTGCTGTTATTCGTCGACTTAGACGTAACTAACAGAAATACGTCGAAGTTCATCGTCGACCGACAGTGATGATGATGATGACTTACTGAAAAAAAATAGAGAGATAAGTTTTTCAATCTTTCTCTATAGTAACCCTGTATGTTACATCGTATTTGAAAATGAACTGCTTGAAACATTGACAGTAACGATAAGAAAAACCAAATATTGGGACAGTACCTGTAGTTTGAACTAAATATTGGTTTATTAGTAAATATCTTCTACAACAGTTATCTTTACGTATGAATACAAAGAATAGTTTCTAATAGTTTTTAATAGAAACATGCAATAGAGTAATGACAGTGCCACTTATCTAAACAAACAAAGGCACAAATTGACAAAGCGACAAAAACAATTGACTGTTTCTCAAATAATTCATACGAGTATTGAAGAGTGGAATGAACTTAAAAAAAAAACAAAGGAACCTTCTCTTAATACAAATCAATAAGTTTTTTTTGCTGTTATTCGTTCACTGTCAACGGTTAATTTCCTTATTACTTGTGTCATCGCGATAGGCGGTAA